CCCTCTCTAAACCCCTTCTCCCTTCCCCCCCGGGGCTCACAGGGTTCCGGCTGGTGAACGGCAGCACAGCGTGCTCAGGGAGGGGGGAGATCCAGGGTCTTGGTGCCTGGGGAACCCTCTGTGACTCACGCTGGGATTTACCAGATGCCAACGTTCTCTGTCATCAGCTCGACTGTGGATTCGCTGAATCAGTCCCAGAAGGAGGGTATTTTGGGAAGGGAACTGGCTCTGTCTGGACAGACACATTTCACTGCAAAGGGACTGAAACCCATTTGGGCCATTGCCCTGTTACTGCCCTGGGGGCCTCTCAGTGCTCACACGACAATGATGCCAGTGTGATTTGCTCAGGTAAGTGCAGGAGAGCTGCTGGATTAAGGACACCTGCCCCTCAGTGTGTGACACTGCCCCCAGAGCAGGAGAACCTCATGACTCAGCAAGGGGAGGGGAAGCTAGATCCTAAAGCATGTATAATATTGGTAAAAGTATTAAAGGTAACATTAAAGTAAATAATATCATCACAAAAGAATAGTTGTGACCTGGGAAAGCTCTGGATTCTCCAGTAAAAACATCAGCAACTCTGTCCTTACGCAGGGCAGCGGAGCAGGGGCAGCACTTTGTCCTTCGGGTTACATAAATGTCACCAATTCATTGTTCCCAGCCTTCTGCAATAGTAATTAGAGGGGTAGCTGGTAGTGATTCCCAATATGCAGGGCCGGCTCCAGGATGAGTCCCAATTGGTAGCATTTGCTGAGAAATTTCCCCAGCCAGGCTGGGTTCACCTCCAGCTCCCTAGGTGAGACTAGTCACCACATGGTCAGCTCTGCTAGTCCAGGGAAGCTGCCTGCTGAGTGTGTGACTGGAGGCTGGGCTAGGAGGCTACAGTTCGGATGTTAGGGTAGTTGTATAACCTACACCTTGCGCCCTGCACCCCTTTGTGGTGAGGGGAAATCCTGGGACCAACGTAGCCTGATTCCTGCTTGAGGAGGACCCCTGACAGCAGACAGCAGCCCCTCTGCAGTGACTGAAGAGTCCAGCGTCATCTTCAAACCTGAAGATCATTCATGGAGTTCGTGAGTGCACCGTTTTTTAGTTAGTTAGTCAGGGAATTTGTTTTGGGGACCCCCTACTCCCTGAACTGTGTCCTCAAGCCAGGGAGTAAGGGTTTGAGGATTTTATAACCTGCCGCTTATTATACCTGTGGAGGGATTTTCATTCCATTTCCACATGCCAGTATCTCAAATGTGTTTAAAAATTGAAATACTGCATTCAAAATACTTCAT